GTTTAGGGATGGTTTTACTTTGTGATTTACAGACCGGTAAGTTTGTTGTCGCTATTGCGGTTTTACTCTTTTTTTGGTCTGGACTTCTGGACTGCTGTGCTCTTGTACACTGTGGCCTGTCCCTAGCACTTTGGAACTCGTGGTCATCATCACCTTGGCTTTGCCACAGATGTTTGTAGCTTTGCATCTCCTGGCATGTGCTCCTCAAAACTAGCCTGTTTTACAGACCTCTTTCCACCAGATTCTCATCTGGGGTGTATTTGGACAGCTTTTAGGAACAGCTGCTGTGTGAGGTCCTCACATGCAGCCCAAGTCTTGTGTTAAGTAGTTACACCAAAAAAGAAGTATATATTAGCACACAGTGTAACTGGCTGCAGAGGTACCACTAAAAGTGTGTCTACTACCTCTACTTTTTGGCTCATTTATTTTCATAGAATCATAGGGTAGTGTGGGTTGGAAGTGACTTTTACAGATCATCTAGTCCAAACCCCCTGCAGTGAGCAGGGACAGCTTCAACTAGAGTAGGTGGCTCAGGGCCCCATCCAACCTCACCTGGAATAGTTTAAGGGATGGGGCTTCTACCACCTCTCTGGGCAACCTGGGCCAGTGTCTCACCACTTTCACTGTAAAACATTCCCTCCTCCTCTCTAGTCTAAATCTCCCGTTTTGGTTGAGAACCATCACTCCAGGACCTGCTAAAAAGTCAGGTGCCATCTTGCTTCTAGGCCCTCTTGTAGTACTGAAGGGCTGCAAGAAGGTCTCCCCTGAGCCTTCTCTTCTGCAGGTTGAACCCAAACCTTCTCAGCTTGTCCTCCTAAGATGTGGGTTCCAGCCCTCACATCATTGCTGTGGCCTTCTCTGGCCCCGCTCTGACAGGTCTGTATCCTTCTTGTGCTAAGCACTCCAGAGCTGGACCCAGCACTGCGTATGAGGGGACACTGTGCTCCAGGGGAGCAGTACATCTCTTGTCTTCCAGTCATGCAGCTTGACTCAGCTCTAGTTTCTTCTTTATGTTTCTCTACTTGAGCTAAAACTTTTTCCCATCTCTGTCCTCCTAGGAGTGAAGCCCAAACTAAACAGAAGGTGCCTTTCTGCTTTCTCTCTGTTTTAAGGTGACTGATGTGCTAACAGCCCTCTTTGTCGGCAAGAGAGCGGAGATGTAATCACCACAAATGCCTGGCTTATTGGGCTTTTTTTCTCCAAGTGAGATAGCTGCCAATAAAATGATACAAAACGTACTGTTAATGTGTTTGTGGTAAATACCCTCAGTGCTAAAGCCTAGAGCATCATTTTTTGGCTGATACTTGGCTGGTGTAATGAGCTTTGGTGGTGGGTTTGGGGAGCACCCCAGCAGTGGCAGCTCTTCCTCCATGGGATAGGATGGGTGAGGGCTGGAGACAGCACGTGGTGGTGCCAACGGAACTCCAGTTGTGTGGGCACACTTACAGGAGGGTTGAATTTGGCCTGGTGATTCCAAAAATCATACATATTTATTGGTACACAATCATAGCAGAATTTGGGAGACATCTGTATTTCTTGCACATAACAAAAGGAAGATATAGTGCTGTAATATTAAGATTAAGTATAGCTCTTTCTCTTCTTTGACAGTCATAATGCAACTCTTGAGGTGTCGTATATCTCTTCCTAATGAAGTGTCAAAAATATTTACCTTCAGGACGAGTTACAAACATCTTTACTCTGCCTTAAAGAAGTTGGTACGTCAGTGTCAGCAGCTCACAAGCTCTCTCTGGTGGTCCTGTGTCACATGGAGTGTTGTTAGGTTGGATCAAGAGCTAAATAATGATGAAAAGGGGGGGGGGGAAATGGAAACACCAAAGTGAAAATATTTGCAACTGGGATCTGATGATTTTTCTGAGCTCATCAGGCTGTTTTACATCTGGCTTTGCTCATCTGCATGTAGATGGTTTCTGGGATGAAGCAGCCTGAACTGTAATGAAACCGAGGCCCCATCAATGTCTCTGGGGTGCCATTGAGTTCTCAGAACTTCTGAAGATTAACTCATAGCCCTTCTACAAGCTTGGGCATCTCAACTGCAGGATTTTAGAGCTTGCATGCTTCAAATTTCTAAATGCCTTTTTCACTGGAGTTTGATGCATCAAATTCAGGTGCAAGACGTTGCTGAGCCGCTGCACTGCTGTGGGGCATTTGTTCAGAAGGGCTGACACTATTGATCAGCTGTGCCTGCAATATTGATACGCTAGTTGGGATCTAAATTTCAGTTGTCCTTAGATGCACACACAGGCAGGCATGAAATACTGAAGGGGAAATAGATTTCTGTTGTCTTTTGAAGCAAACTACCATTAAAAGCTGTATCTCTGTTGAGAGAGAAGTTGCAAATATTAAAAAAAAAAAAAAAAGATGGACTTGTGGCCCAACTGAAGTGATGTAATAGATCCATTTTAACAACAAAATGGGTTTTTTAATGAAAGGGCACAGTGCCCATCTGACAGAGTGCCTCCAGAGAGCCTTTGACAGTTAGCTGGGCACTTTCGGTGTATCCTGTCTCACTGCGGTGGAGATCCCAAAGAATCCAGATGAGATATTGCTGTGTGCCAAAACACAGGCTGTGTGGGCTGTTTTCAAGGAGGTTTTATTTCTGTTATCATGCTGCTTTGAAATGTTTCTTTAGTAAGAGTTATTTTAGTAGTAATAGTGTCGTAACAGTAATCAAGTGGAAGCTTTTAGTTATAATCTTAAGTTTTCCTTTGCATTTGGTTAACAACAGGTACTTGAGGAGGTGATAAATTTGATTTTTATGTGTGCACTGGGTGCCCATGCCCAAGCAGGGGCTTGAGTAGCCTCTGGGAGGAGAGATTGGGGCTGCCCTAGTCTGGACACAGCCCCTTCCAACAGCCCCACACCCAGGCACAGCTGAAGTGGTGTTTTAATTCTTGTCTTTGTTTCTCACCATCCACATACATTTTATAGGGCAGTAAATGAAATTTTCTTTGAGTTGTGTCTGTTTGTCCATGGCAGTGACTGCTAAGTGAGCTCCCTGTCCTTATCTCAACCCACAAACTTTTTTCATCTTAAGTTCTCCCCCATCCTGTCGAGGAGAGTGTTGAGGGAGCAGCTGGGCACTGACATTTAGCTCTCAAATAGCAATAACTGTTAGCACTTGCATTATCAACCTGATTTTTGGGTACAGCCACTTCCTCGGTTCTTTGTGCCATATAGCATGCTTTCACATTTATTTGTTCCTTCAGTGATTTACTTGTCAAAAGGAAAGCCAAAAAATGAGCCTAGTCCTGAAAACCCACCTGCCAAGGTCCCGTCTGCTGGCTCTGTGATGTTTTGGGGTTGTATTTCCCCATGCCAGTTGGATAGCAAGAGTGCTGTGGAAAAGCTCACCAGTATCTTTACCTTTTGACTGGCAGAATGGGGTTAATTTCAGAAAGCTTTTAATCTTCCCTAAAAAGGCCAATAAAGGGGTTTGAGATCACCCAAGAGGTAACAATCTTGATTTTGAAAGGCTTAAAATAAGCTATAGAACTAAAGAACAAATTTCTCTTTACGCTTTTCGTAGCCAAGCCAGATAAAGCTTGGTCAATTTAGAGGAAAACAAAATATTTACAAAGGACACGAGGACCATTTGAAACAGTCCTGTCTCTGTGGTGGGTGGCAGTGTCATTGCAGGAGCTCATCTTTTGGGCAGCTCTGCAGCACAATGGCGAGTGCTCTATAGAACATGTTTCCTACCTCTTGCTAAACCAGCCCAGATATTGTTGCTGAAGTGCCATATAGTTCTATCTACTCCATCTGGCCTGACAGCACTCTTGAGCAGCATGGGGAGCTCGCACAGCTTGGAGTATGTGCATCATTCATCTGTCATGGGTATCTCTTGATGGTGCAGGATGAAATCACTGCACTGCATAGATTCGCCTGAGAATTATCACAAAATAAAAGACAAAATGGGAGTTAGCAAAAGTTTCCACCTTATAGATATTGTTCACTGTTGGAGGAGCTAGATAATGATGATTAATTGGCCATCTATGGAAGGCTTAATGACCTTGCCCAGATAATGCTTTTCTTAGACAACGTATCATGGGACACAAGCCCCCACGCTGCCATAAACCCCGACTGGGTTGTGGTTATTGTTCCGAAGTCCTGGTGAAGGGTGGATTTTACACACAGACCTGCACCTTTTTGAAGTTAAGGGTTGGTTTTTTTTCTCCAACATTAGCTTAAGCCACAGGCTTAAGAAGCTGTGCCAGTATTTTGGTGACAGCTTAATAGATGCTGAAATGTCCCAGATGCTGAGGCAGTGCCCGAGTCTAATGAGTGGGCAAATGTACAGGCCATGATTAGCTCCGGTCTAGCTGACCCCTTCCTAGGTGGAGCATGTGAAAGCATTATAAATGTCCTCAGAACCAGTCCCAGCTGAGCAGGGGTGCTGCCTTTTGAACAAGAGCATGATTTGTACAGAGGAGTAGTTCTGGAGAGGCCAGCCACTGCTGGAATGCCACTAAATCCTTTTGCTTTCATAAAAAAAAAGGATGAAATTACTCAAAAAACACATGTGCTCAATCAGTGAGGGTGTAGAATATCTCTGAGAAGAAAGAAGACATTCTTGTTGTGTAAGTTTGTGAATGCGTTGTGGGCATTTTTTCCATTGGTATTTAATTGTCAGCAAGAATTTGGCAGTGGAGGTTTCTCAGGATTAAACTGTTCTTACCTGTTCCATCTGTTGCAGACTTGGGAAGTCCACGTATAATTTTCTTCTCTTTTTTCTTTTTTTTGGAGCAGTTTAGTGCCAGCACAGGAGAAAGAAAGTGCTGGAAAAGCAAAACTGTATGCAGCGAAGTTAAATGAGCCATTTACAGTAATAGCAATATCTGCTCTCTGGGATCTAATATTTTAAATGTCGGTGGAAGAAATTTGCTGGACCAACACAGAACTGCATTTAAAGGACAAGGTTAATGATTCTTTGTGTGGATATTTACCTTGTTTGCCTCTGCTTGTTTTCTTTTTCCTATTAGGCTGATGATAAAGACACTGGGAATTACAGTGCCATGCAGTACAGACTCATCATTCCTCCAATCAAGGATGGTAAAGAAGGTTTTGTGATTGAAGCTTACACAGGGCTAATAAAAACTGCGATGCTGTTCAAAAATATGAGAAGATCCTATTTCAAGTTTCAGGTCATTGCAACTGACAATTATGGGAAAGGACTGAGCAGCAAAGCAGAAGTACTTGTAAGTATGAGCCAGACATTATCTTTATGGAATAATTCCTGAGGAAATTCAAACGCTACATAAAGTTTAATTCCAGGCAGACCTATAGGAAGGCCATAAACTGTGTGTACCTAATTAAGTCGCTGATATAAAATGTCTTTTTTTAAAAACCAAAAGCTTTTATGACCATCTGAGAGATGTTTTCACGTTTCGTGGCAGAGATACTGATCTCAGTTACCACACTAGATGCCATGTTCAGTATTTTATTTATTCAACGAGCCATTGTTAATCATTCAATTTAGTTTCTAATTGTTTGCATTTAACATGGGCCTAAGTTACGTTCTGGTTGTTCTGCACCCAGATGACAGTGAAAGACCTGCTGCTTTTGTGCATTACAAGTATAAAACAGCTCAGACGTTGGGCTGAGACTCTACTTTGGGTTTTGAGGGAAGCAACACTTCAAAACTGGCACCAGCTTTAGGCCTTGAGCTCGTGGTTTTGTGCTGAGTAAAGGACATAGTCCAATCACAGAAACCATCAAAGCTAAATTTCTTTCAAGCCTATACAACTTGATGGATTGGATTAATATTAGCATAATGTTGTAGGACTGAAGTACATTATCTAGTTCATGGGAACACTGTCAAATGATACAGATGATTGCCATAATACTTGGTATATTGAGTTATGCAGGAATTCAGCAAATAAACATAATGTATGATGTCCTCATGCTTGACCTCCCAAAATGATAGGGCTTTCTCATGCAATTCAGGCAGTAATAGTATATTAAAATATAGCCAGAAGGTATCGACATTAAAATTAGAAAGTGAAGTATGTCTCATTAATTTATAGAGGTATCTCTAGGTTGTCTGAGTGAGTGATGAGCAGTACTCTCAGTGTTTTTGAACAAGCTCAGAGTAGCTGTAGATACAATTACAGACTGACACCATCCCACCATGAAAATCTGGGTTTGCACTGAGCATGGTCCATATGTGAAGATCCTTTCTAACTAGATTAGGCTGTTCCTGGGCTTCCTGATTTGAGCAGAATTTGTCCTGCTGTCGCTGTGATGTCAGGTGCTCAGACTGCTGGGAAGTGTTACTCCTTTCAATACAAGCTCGAGGAGTGCACATAGATAAGGGAAATTAATTTAATTACTCACATGCAAATGAGTAAGATGTGGGAGAAGAAGATAAGGTTGCGCTGGGAGGTGGTCTAGGGAGGAGAGATGGGACAACACCAGAGTGACAGTATTGGGAAGAACCTGAGCAGAACGAGGTATCCTCCAGAACTTGGGCCAGGATACCTCCTCAGAGCCCCAGCAGAGCTCTGTGAGCAGCGTAAGCTGCCAAATCCACCAGTAAAATGTCTTGATGCTGTAGGGGTTGGTCCATGTGGAGGATACCAGCCTGTATCTGGGATGGGACTGGCAGGATGCCTCATGTTAGACATCTGTAGATCCACAGTTTGAGTCCACATAATTAAATTTCCCTTTTTAGTCTCTGTGAAACAAAAGAAAGAAATGAGAAATTGTGTTTTAAAATAAGCTGGCTACAAGCAGTTGCTTAAAGGTACTAAGTGTGTGTGGATAGTGAAAATTCACTGTGATATCATCAACAATCAAATGGTTGTTGGGGTTTGGGGAGGTCCCAAGCCTCTTCCTCATTCAGACCCTCAGTATAAGCTACTCCCAGGAATCCATTGGTGCTGTGTAATGATCGAGACTATTGGTAGGCTCTGCCTTGCTTGATTTAAAAATGGGGAAGTGCCTAGGCAATGAAGCCTGGGATGGAGGGGATATCGCTTGGGGGCTAGTGATTCCAAACAGTGACACACTTTCCCTGCCCTGCTGCAGGCTTCTCCTTCTTGTGCCACTTCTTCAACTGGAGCTGGTTCTCAGCAATGTATTCTTCAGATACTTATGGACAGGAGACATCTGAACACACCGCCTGCCAGCCCTGTGATTGAGGCTGGTACCTGCTGTTGAGCATCACAGGACCTGGCTGTATTTTTGCTTAGTAGACTGGGAGTAGCACAAGCTAAGGAACAGTGGGTTGGGTAATCTCTGGTGACTGTGCCCAAAAAGCTTCCCAGGAACAGTGACGTTGGTGTCTCAGGAAGAACCCTTGCTTTCCCACACAGAATCACAGAATGTTAGGGGTTGGAAGGGACCTCTGGAGATAGTCTAACCCCCTTGCAAGAACAGGACCATCTGAGCTAGGGCAGGTCACACAGGAACACATCCAGACAGGTTTTAAAAGTCTCCAAGGAAGGAGACTCCACAACCTCCCTGGGGAGCCTGTTCCAGTCCTCTGGAACCCTTACAGTAAAGAAGTTCTTCCTCATATTGAGGTGGAACTTCCTGTGCTCCAGCTTGTATCCATTGCCCCTCATCCTATCGCAGGGCACAAGTGAAAAGAGGTTGCCCCTTTCTTCCTGACATCCAGCCCTCATATGTTTATACACATTAATTAGATCCCCCCTAAGTCTTCTCTTCTCCAGACTAAAAAGCCTCAGGTCTCTCAGCCTTTCCTCATAAGGCAGGTGTTCTAGTTCCCTATCATCCCCATAGCCCTCCGCTGGACTCTCTCGAGTAGATCTCTGTCCCTCTTGAACTGGGGAGCCCAGAACTGGACACAGTACTCCAGGTGAGGTCTCACCAGGGCAGAGGAGAGGGGGAGCAGGACCTTCCTTGTTCTGCTGGACACACTTTTCTTAATGCACCCCAGGATACCACTGGCCTTCCACCTCCACTCCTGGCATGTTCTCCTAGGGTGGCAGGGACCAGTTTCTCCCCACAGCTATTTTTACTAATTATAAAATGAAAGCCCATGCAAATATGGATAGCACACAAGTTGACATTACTATGGAAACCTTAACTTTTTCTTGATTTTTGTTCAGCACCCTTTTTTCCCTGTAGCTTGTCATGAATGTGTATTTATTCATATTTTTGTATATGAACGAGTAGTCTTAATTGTGATTCCTTGAACATCAAATGAACTATTGCCTTTTTTTCAGCACTGCATTTCTGCAGTACCCAGTACATAGGTGCACAGTTTGCTTATATTGCCTAATGAAGTTAATTCTATTAAACTGTTCACTGCTTTAGAGATCCTGTCAATGATCTTAGTCTAAAATTTACTTTGAGTTCATTATAATTCTGCTTTTCTGACACCGAAGTCTGTACATGCTGATCAGTGCATCTGATGACATTTCAAGAACATTTAAATATTTAAAGTTAAATTAAGCTTCAAAGCTGGTGAATCGGTGTTTGATGTGGAAGTATATTATGGCTCATCTGCAGAAGTAGCTTACAGGGCTCAGGCTTCTCTTTTAAAAATTCAGGGGTGTATTTTTTTTCTTTTAGAATGGATGATTTTTAAATTTATCGGGTTTAACATTGTCCTGCTTTCCCGTATTTACCTCCAGAATGCTCTGTAGGGTGTCTAGGTTTGGAGTATAACGTTTGTTGTCATGCCTATATGGACATGAGCCAAGTGTGAGGAAATGTTTTATTTTCTCCACCAGTATGGGAAGGAACTGCTCCTTTCACAACCCGAGGGGAGGCTGGGCTGTGCTAGCAAAGAGAGCTATTACAAAAAAAGGACAAATACTTAAAAGGGAGAAAGAAACATGCAATCATTTTACTGGAAGGCAACTTTTTCTTGGGATAAAAATAGCTCGAGGAGACTAGATCAAGAGATGTGAAGCAGAGTTTACCAGCTCCACTGAATATGATACAGGCGTGTAGTCCCTCATGCCCACAGACTATCCACCTGACTCTGGGAAATGGAAGAGTTCCAGTGCTTTTTTTTCAGAGAAAATGCTAATGCCAGAGATTTGTTTTGAGGTCAGTCTGTTCTTTGGTGGAATCCTGGAATTTTTAATTATTTAATTTTTTTTTTAGAACAAAGCACACAAGTGTTTTGAGTGTGTTAGAGGTTTTTTTTCCTGGTCTTGTAAAGAAAAAAAGTTCAATTGTAAAATGTACGTGGCTATGTACAATTTTGTGCTATATAGAGGGAGAAGCTAAAGAAATGGAAGACTAAAATAAAAACTTTACTAACTTCAGAGTAAATGAACAATTTCCTTCATGACTTTTCTAACAGAGTATCTCATTGATATAGTTGAATTGATCTTGTATTTGCGTTTATGTTGGTGCAAATTGCATATCTCCAAGGCTGGATTTTCCTGTCAAGTCATCAAAAATACCAGGCTGCTCCCAAGTAATTTTGAATGTAGCACATGGGAGATCCATGATTCTGTAAGTAAAGTCTAAACTATGAAGAACATGTTTCATAGTCCCCACCTTAAAAATCAATATTTCTGATGTACTCCTGCGATTACAGTTCTTGTTAAATCTTTGCCTGCTGTTTATTGCTTTTGGCTGCCGAGCAAAGCAAGATCTCCCAGCTCTCTTATTCGGCATTAAAATGAGAAATATGTACATCAGGGAATGGCTGTGAAGGCAGGGAAGTAATTATTCCATTCTTTTTGTATGAGAGGATGTTATGCATGGGAGTGCCAATTGATTTTCACTCTTTTGTTTCCAGGTCTCTGTGGTCAATCAGTTGGATATGCAAGTCATCGTCTCTAACGTTCCTCCCACCCTTGTGGAACAAAACAAAGATCAACTCATAGGGTAATGAATTTATTTACTCTACAAACATCAGACAATTCACTGGATTTGTGTTTAGATTCAGCAAGGAGCACTGTCTCTATGCCACGATCTTTTTTGGCAAGAGACTTGATGGATATCACAACTTGCTGAGTGACAGCCCTGACACCCCCCAAATCCCTCCACCCCCAATCCACATTTTACCCATCCTCTGAAGTAAGCAGGGGTACAGCACTTCTGTGCTTGCCCGTGTGCCCATTTTGCAAGTTGAAATTTGGTTCAGAGCCACCACAAACACAGACTAGAGTACAGCCTCTGAACACTGAGCACAAGAAGCTGCATCTGCCAAAATCCAGGACATAGAATAAAGCACATCTCCAAAATGTTGCGGCAGTGTGTCTCAGAGAGCTGTACTGCTTCACTTTGATTTTACTTGGGTGATGTAGCTGTAAGGGAAGCAGAATTTAGAAAATTTATACTGATACAGTTAATACCCACTAACAGGATTGCATAATATTTTAATTGCAAAATATTAGTAACAGGATGTTGGTTGTCAGCCTAACAGGTATAAAATGTAATGGGAGGGGCAGGTAATTTGAAATATCAATGCTTTGTAACAAGAGCAAAGGATTTTTATCATCCTGTAAGCCAGCTAAAATCCTTTTGGTCACAGATGTTTTGATAGCATTCATGCACCACAGTATCATCGGATTCCAGGAGTTAGGTTTTCACTTTTAGCTTCTTTTTGTAAGACAAGGCCCATTTTTCTATACTTTGAGTCATTGGGCAAATAACCATGAATTAAACAACATGGGATAGGCTGTAGGAAATAGTTTAAAAACAATCTTTGTACTCTTCGGTCCCTTGAATCAGTGATGAATGGCTTTTCCCAGCTTTCAACAGGTTTGCTCCATCCTGCCTGCTGTCGTAGCTTTGCTTCTCCACGGAAATTGAAGTACTTTAGGGCTGATGATATAATCACTCACTGAAAAAGAAGCGTGCTGTCTCTAAATGGCTCATGTCTTCACTGGGCTAGGAAAAATTATCAACAGATTCGCTTCTGGAGATTTAGGACATGTTCCCCTTTTCTCTCTCTGTTTTGAGCCAGGTGTGAGTTAACTCTGATAGATTCTAGCATCAGAAACACAAATTAAGTTGTTCAGGCAATGGTCTGTATTCACAGGGACTCCATTTCCTAGAGCTAAGAATAATAAAGGAGCCTGCTTGCTCAACACTTAAAATCTAGCTCTCCCTAAGTGTCAGGTGCTGGTGTTGGCTGGAGAAGCAAAGACCAATATATCTTTTAATAACAGTAATAGGAAAAGTTTAGTTTTGCTTGCTAAGCCTTCAAGTTCACCTTAGTGTTCTGCACAGTACAGATTTTTCTTCACACAGGAATTTGGAGGCCTGCGAGGCTTCTGTTTTCTTGAGCGGAGAAAACAAACACACGCTCTGTACCACGTGTTTCTGTGTGATGTAGGGTAAATCTCGTGCTAAATTTGACTTAAGTTGTGTTTGAGATCATAGAATTACAGAATCATTTTGGTTGGAAGAGACCTTCAAGATCATGAAGTCCAACCATTAACCTAGCACTGCCAGGTCACTACTAAACCGTATTCCTTAGCACCACATCTCCACGGCTTTGAAAGCCCTCTGGGGATGGTGATTTAATGACAGGATGTAACATTTAACCATCAATTGCAATGCTTGGTGATGAGGAATGTTGGGGAAGAGGGTAGCTGGGTCATTTTTGAAATTACAGTGATTTTTCACAGTAAAATAAATAGTGATTTTAACAACTTTGGTGAAGTTATAACAGATGCTCCCCAGCTGCTGGTAATTTTCACTAGAGAGTGGAGAGAAGGTATTAAGAAATACATAATTCAATTCTTCCATGCTGCAAAGGCTTACTCAGCACAGCACTGAGATGTATGTTGGTTAATGGTCCAAATAAAGGAAGTACATACCATAGAAGACAAGATTTAAAACATCGCAGTTTGGCTTAGGAGTTTGGGCTTTTTGAGGGATACAATGGGTATGTCTTCAGCTGACATTTCTCATGGTGTTGTGATCCTTTGCAGTAGTCATTCAGTAAGCACCTCATTTTTCCTTCAACTGCTTTCATTCCATCAACAAGCTTTTTATATCCTCTGGACCAATGTCAGATTTGCCATTTCTCTCACTCACTCTGTCTCTTCAGAGAGGTTCATTTCTTTCTGCAACAGGTGACAGAAAATGAAGTGGGGCTTGGTGGCAAATTCAATGCATGCTCCTCTCCTTCAGAAAACTCCTTGGTGAAGGCAGATGACACAGTGTTCTTCAAATACAGTTACATTTGTGTGCTTACTTCTTGGGAAAGGAAACAGAATTTCAACTAGAAGAAAATAGGCAACATCATTCTTCTTTAGTTCTTTGGTTTTCATGTGAGTGCAACTTAAACCCTTTGCTAAACTTGGACATGCCATATGACCAAGAGAGAGCTGTGTTCCTCTTATCCCATGTGTAATAGAAAAGTCAGGTGAATTAAATACCTCTGTACACACTCCTATAGCTGACAAACCACTTGCTCTGAAATGGAGTAGTGGAGTGGCTCACAATGAGTGCTTTGTTGAAATACGCCATAGGCATTCCTCTTGAAAAGGCTGGTTTTACTCTACAGCTCACAAACCCTACAAAATGGAAACAGTATTGCTTGGGGAACTCTTTTTTTTTCCTGAAGAAGAGCTAGCCAAACCCATTTAAGCATCATTTTCAAGGTCAATGTTAATGTTTTTTTGCCTTGTGTGTGCTTTCTGAGCCAATCAGGTGGGTAAAGAAAACTTATTTAGCTGCATTTGGACTGCTCTGGAGTCTTTAAAGAATGGAATGAGTATTTTCTCCTTACTTTCAAAAATTATATGAGGATTCCAATGTTGTTCTCCCCTCCCTGCTGTGAACAGACAGCCTGGAAAGTACAGAGTTTCTCTTCTGTCCATATGAAGATAATCTCCTAGTGGTGGTGTAGGAATCATTCACTGCAGAAGAGAGTCTGATGGCATCACCTCACACTGCAAATAAATGTGCATAGATACAACAAAAATTAAGTACTTAATAATAAATCATGTAATAACTATAGATATTTAAACAAGGAAATGTTTACCTCCCACATCAACAAGTTTCTCTAGTCTCCTGTATTTCCAGAGCAATCCAGATGATGATTCCCCTTTTGTGTATCTTGACTTCATAACAGGCGAGTCGTGGTGCCTGTGACAGCAGTGCAAAGGTTGAAGTTCCAGAATGTTTCTATCGGTTGCATATGGTGGAGTTTGGGGCCTGCCTTCTCTGTGCGTCCCTCTGGCAGTTTTTGCTCTCCTGGGCTGAGGAATTTAGGGGCCTGCAGCCTCCCGGCCAGACCTACCTCTGAAAATGGAATCTAAGTCCGGATGTTCTTGCATAACAACTTAATCTGTCTTCTGGATGTTCTTACATATCGTATATATCTTAATAAAGGACATTTCCTATGTGTCAAAGCAAAAGTACTGGAAATACCATGTGTGATTCATTAAGGGGAATTTTTCCTTTTGTATGTTTTTGACCTGTTACATGCTGCAATCCTTCAATACCTTAATGCTCATAAAAGAATGGGGCAGTTCTGTAGTTAAAAAAAAAAAAAAAAACCCAAAAAAAAACCTGCTCATTTGTGTGAGACCCCACCTGGAGTATTGGGTCCAGCTGTGGAGCTGGTTCAGCAATCTCCTCCTTCGGGTTCCTCTCAATAATAACCAGTGTTGTTCTCTTAACTTGTTTTCTCTGAAGTGCTATAATGCAGCGTGTGGCTTCTCAGATAAAGCTGTAAACTTCTGCTTTGTTCTGAAATTGCTTACTCTTGCAGGAAAACCCCTTTTGTGCTGAGATCTGAAGATACGTCTTCAGGGTCAAAGTCAAGATGTCGCTGTGTATTACTCTTTGGGTAGCCTAATGGTCCTTCTGTGACTGGGAAAAATGGTACTGAAATAAAAAGCTGGAGTGCATGTAGTTTTTTTTGGAGGACAGGGTTATACATGATGGGCACAAAAAGAAAAGAAACTTCAGGAATGTGTAGGAAAGCAAATTTCCTTTCTGGTGTGCAATCCAATATGTGCTTATTGGATTAGCTTAAGTAGATATAAAGACATTGTCTCTGGGTTGTTCTGTAAATAATTTAGTTGTTATTATATGCAGAGTAAATTGGCTCAGCGGTGCTCCTTCCTGCTAGATACATGCCTGGTGTGTGATATAAAAGTCAAAATAATCTTCGTCAAAAGACTATTTTACAAAGAAAGAATAACCTTAGGCTTGAAATAAACCCCAGTTCTGGCTTTTTTCAGCCTATGTTGCAGCCCAAAGCAGGCTGACTTAGCTGACTCACAAGGGTTTCTTCGGGTGTGTTGGCAACTCCAAAGCATCTCCAGAGGCCACAGGAGTAGTGTGACCTGCCCTGTGCTGTGTGTATGTTGTCAGAAGTCATCTGGGAGCTGGGGTCCAAGTGCATCACACCCCCAAAGCCATCACTAACTGCATGGGGGATGCAGGGGCTGGAGTTGGTCCTTATCTGTTTTTGAAAGTACAGTTGAAAAGCCAGCAAGCTTAGTTGTCAGGTATTAACCTTGCAGAATCTCAGTGGAGCCAGAATTTGACTGCAGCTGAGCAAAACTGAGAGAGCGTACTTGGATTAAATGAAACACTTGAGAAGTCCATATTGATGTGCATCAGCAGAGCTAGATGCTCTCACTTGTGTGTTGCTGCCAAATTTGCTTACATTTCAGATACGTAAAATATGACTTTATTACTAGACTATTTGGGGGAGGTCAAAGTTTCACTGGAAGAGCCGAAAGTTGTGCAGGATACCAAGTCTTCAATGTTTGTATCTCCAAGTCTATAGTCCCAGTTATTTCAGAGCCCTGCAACAAAGAATGGATTGGTTTTTTTCTTCCTTTCTTAAAATATTTTTATGAGCCACAGAAACACAGGCTCTCAAATTACCAGACAACTGAAACATTTTTTTCCTCATAGAATGTTCTGCTAAGAAAATTGTGCAGTAATTAAATTCAGGTACTCGTGAGGATCTAAAATATTCTGCAGATTGAATTGGTTCTTTTCCTCACATGCTGGTTCAGAGGACACGTATACAACTTAGCAATTCTGCTCCAGGGTATAAAGCTGCCAGGATGTTGTGGTGCTCCTTCAGACAATGTCACGCATCTTCTCCACCAGGGACTACAGAGAGTCATTAAACCTCACTGCTGACTTACCAAGTCTTACACGATGGCTGTTAGTCTTGGCTGAGTGGCCCTTGCTGCTGGGCTCTCGTGCAGCAGATTCCATATTTCATATTTTGAGGGGAATTAACTGACTCATATGAGCTCCCACATTAGTTGCAAGGAAGCTTCTAAGTTGTGCCTTATCCCAGGTTTTTTTGGGCTTGGGCCTGCGTGTTTTAGAAATGGTTTGGGAAGCAGATTGCCACCAGCAAGAGACAGCTCAACAAACCGACACAGATGTATTTTTTTGCTTTGCCATTTTTTTTGCATCTAAGGATTTTCTGAAAAAAAGTCTCGGAGTTTTCAGGATATTTAGGGTCATATTATCATAGAATTATACAAAGACTTGGGTTGGAAGGGACCTTAAAGATCATCTATTTCCAACCCCACTGCCATGGGCAAGGACACCTCTCACTAGACCAGGCTGCTCAAAGCCCCATCCAACCTGGCCTTCAACACATCCAGCGATGGAGCATCCACAGCTTCCCTGGGCACCCTGTGCCAGTGTCTCACCATCCTCATAGTGAAGAACTTCTTCCTTACATTTAATCTCTATCTCCCCTTTTCCAGTTTGAAGCAGTTAGTCCTTATCCTTTCACTACAAGCCCTTTGTAAGAAGTCCCCAGCTTTCTTGTAGGCCCCCTTCAGATACTCGAAGGCTTCAAGATGGTCTGCCTGGAGTCTTCTCCAGACTGAACAACCCCAACTCTCTTATGTCCTCTGTGACAGTGAGAAGCCACTTGTCCTTCATTTCATTTCACTGGTGTCATTGTTGAGAATTGGGAAGGTGATAGTAATGGATGTGCCCTGGGAGGCATTTCTGTTCATTACATTACATTTGCAGAGCTAAATGGAGTTAGAGCTGTAGGAAAGTCCCATCACCTGTGAGGCTGCTGGTTCTACACTTCTTCCCCCCCTGTTGGGAGCATGGTAATTACCCTTGTTGCATTAACAAACGACAGGGTAATTTTACACTAACTTTTGCTGGTATATACAGTAGAACTGCAAATGCTATTGTTGCTTAAAGTGTACATTCTTCTGATTCTTCCAAGTTGTACTACAATCAGGTGGCCACTTCCAGTAGAGTGTTAAAACACTACAGTGTCTTCAGCATCACAAGTTCAGCTGAATGACTTTTAAAATAACTCTACAGGGAACTGCCCTATTTTTAAGTGCATTCTTTAATTGCTACATTTCAGTGCACTTTTATTATATCTCTCAACCTGAAGATGCAATTTGTGTGTTTCAGATGGAATATTACTGTCATTCCACTGTACTTTGTGGGGTTTATTGCAATGTCAGTTATAAAGCCAATGGCTTTGATGTACCTGTTTCTCATGGTCAGAAAACAGGATGCTCTTTGCTCTTCAGTTTTAATCATATTTTAGACAAAGATATTCTCAAAGGCAATGAATTCCAGCAGAAGCCATGCTAGGAATTTCTGAGGAAAGAGAGTTACTAATTCTACTGAAAGTGACCCTACGTTATAACCTTTCAGGGCTTTCCCGTTGTGGGTGAAATAATAGTTCTGTGCAAGGAAATGAAAGTGTCTCCCCCTGCACCAACAGAAGTTAGGGAGGTAAATCTTCTACCTGTTTGGTTTATCTGAGTGCAAAGGCTCCTCTAAAGATGGTTGTGGTTTCTTCTAGTCACTTCCATTCATATCTCTTCATAAGACGATCGTGGTTTCTTCCAGTCATTTCCATTCACATAATGTTTGGAGAGGAGTTGTATTTTTTTTGTGGTGATCTGCATACCGCAGATTTGTTCTGTCAACCTTTACCTGGGAAAATTGTTGTTACTGAGGTGCCTGTGACAGGTTATCACCGTGGCTGCCAGTTAAGCATGTGCCAGAAGCAGAGATGAGCAGAATTTACCATATCTGCAAACGACAGGAGTGCTTGTTTAGAGTGCACCAGCCAACTAGCAGCGTGTCAGACAATCTATATCTTAATTTT